AGCTTCTTATCCTGTTGATTTTTTCTATAGTTTTTCTGTTTTCTATCTCATTATTTCTGCTCTGATCTTTATTATTTCTTTTCTCTTGGTGACTGTAGGTTCCCTCTGTTGGTCTGTTTCTAGTTGCTGGAGATGTTTTGTTAATGTGTTAATTTTTATTCTTATTTCTTTTTGGACGTGTGCATTTATCGCAATAAATTGTCCTCTCAACACAGCTTTTGCCATGTCCCAAAGATTTTGGTATGGTGTGTTTTCATTCTCATTTGTTTCTAAGAAGTTTCTGAAGTCACGTTTAATTTATTCTATTATTCAGTCGCTCTTCAGCAGGGTGTTATTCAGTCTCCATGTGTTAAATGTTATTTCCCTGGTTTTCTTATTGTTGATTTCTAATTTTATGGCATTTTGATCTATAAAGATGCTTTGTAGTATTTTGATGTTTGTAAATGTATGGAGGCTAGCTTCGTGACCTAACACATGGTCAATTCTGGAGAATGTTCTTAATAATACCTTACCTATGCGATCTAGCCATAATTTTCTTTTTAAGCCAATTGCTGTTATTGTTAAGTGCCATTGAGTCAGTTCTGACTCATAGCGACCCCATGTAAGGTTTCCGAGGAGCAGCTGAAACTGCTGACCTTGTGGTTTGCAGTCCAGTGCTGATCCTACAGTACCATTTATTATCATTCATAAATTTAATTAAAAAAAGGGAGTTAACACATGGGTCTGGGTTGTAGGAGGAAAACCTCCAGCTGTATATAGGTCACTCTGTTTACAACTGGGCGGCGCTTTCCCACATCAGGCGCAACAGCTGCACTTGTTTGATGCCTCTCTGCAGATGCAGCTCGGGGCACACTTGGCACAGTCCATGGGGCAGTAGGAGCAGCAGCTCTTCTTGCAGGAGGTGCATTTGCACTCTGCACTTGCAGGAGCCACAGCAGACAGATGCAGGAGCCACCAGTGCCCAGCAGGGGCAATGGGGTACATTTCAAGTGAGATGGGCGAGGTTGAAGACAGGTGACAAAGAGGTTGCTAGGATGGTGGTAGGTATGGGCGCTAGCCATATTTTTTTTTTACAATACACTTTCTGTTAAATTTATTAGTTGATTGACATAATTTTTTTTCTAAGACCAAATGGCAGGATATTTCATAATTCATAAAAAACTGAGAGATTAAAATTATAACTTACATCTTCAGCATTTGGAATTGTTGCAGACACAGCTATAAATCTCATTGGAATAATAGTGCTGGTATTGTCTAAAATCTGAGATAAAGACTGTATTGTTTTCATTCTGCTGACTACAACTTCAAGAGTGGGACCACGATTTTCATCTTTTACAATGTGTACCTATGCAAGAAATCAAGAAACAACCAT